GTTTTGCGAGGGTTTGTTGTTGACAGCGCGGCCAAAGAAGCAAAGGAAAACGATGCGAAACAGAACGTTTGCAATGTACAGGGGGGGTCGTATCAAGACCCTTATTTGGAGGGGGGTCGTATTTTTCAGGAAATGATCACAACGCAATGGCGTGCCCTAATTTTTCCGCTCCATCTGAATTATTTTGCATCCCTTTCTGCTACAAAGTTGCGAGCATAGATCTTTTTCATTCATTTTCAACGTTCATAAACACTCATAAGGATTAGAGGACACCGTCCAGAAATGTTGAGGTTATGCATCTTGTATTCGTTAGTATTGTGTGGTTTTAGCGTACGGAGCACCATTCGTCCGGGAAAGGTTCCTGTAGCAGGAGACGCAAACTCTTCGTTCAGTATGTCCAGAATAGGTTGAATTTTGTACAGCCTGTTGCTCTTGTCGGCAGTGTTATTGTCGGCGAAATGCAAGCAGTTCAATATCTGTATGAATCGATTCCTACTCATGAGCTTTGCTGCGAACGACTCACTAAACACCTTTCTTGTCGACCAGTAATCTTTGAGGTTTGACCTGATTTCGAGTCCCATTTGGAAACAATCGCCAAAAACTTCAGTAGTTCGCCCTCGTCGAGATTAATCCAGTTTGAGTACTTTGCGATAGCATAACGATTGGTTTCTCTTACAATCAAATCAACGAGATCGTTTGTGAAAAATCGCCGGAAAAATTGGATTGGGTACTGGTAAGATAGAACATCTTCATCCAGTACACCACCGAAAAGAACATCTTCATCCAGTACACCACCGAAACCTTGAAAGTCAAAATTGTTCTGCCTGCTGATATTTGGGGTCCATTGAATCCCTCCATCGTTTGTATCTGAGCCTTCTTCGCTTGATTCCCAATCGGACTCATCACTTGAATGATTCACGCGGACAACCATATCTTCTGGGGTATCAGGGCCCTGTTCCATCACTTCGTCATCACTTTCAATCAGAAGTTCATCAAACGATCTATTCAGCGCGTCCATCATTGCCTATCTGGAACGGCTGCCATAAATTAGGCGTAGTTTCCCAAAAAAATAGCCTGGAGAAGCGAAATGACGTACGTTGAGTTTATACTTCGCTGCGGGCGCGAGAAATACCGCTCTGCGTGGCCGCGTGGCGAGGTTGCGAAATATGGCTCGGGCACACGCGGCAGCCAGCGAAAAAACGCCGCGGTACGCAATGGGTTAAATTAGAGGTATGGAGGGGAGGCAAAAATGCTTAATTTCGTCGACCTGACACTCCAGTTTGAGCACTTAAATATTAGAGGAAACGAAAAGTTCAAAATAATCAAAAGGACTGTCGTTTAGGGTAAGAACTTCTCTGCAAAACAGTATAAAAGTAGGTAGCAAAGCTCTCACTTTTGACGCATTTTTTCAAGTAAGAAGAAACGCCATCATCTATGAGTCACCAATATTCCCAAGCAAAGAAAAATGTGTTGCCGCGATTCCGTTTGGGAAAATACTGGAAATTTCGGCAGCTTATGGGTTTGCGTTGAAAAAGGGCCTCCGGTCAGAAATATTTTCCTGTCTTTCCTATTCCTAGTCCCGCATCTAGCGGGCGAAGATTTTTGAAAGCGGGAAGAATCCAGTCGCGGTCTTGACGTGAAAAGGAACTGCAGAAAAGTAGTATTTTGTGTACAACATGTATGGAACTACTTTAGCACAAGCTAACAGCCTACATGCTTCCAAAAATTTCGGTCACATCGTTGCTTTGAATAAGCATTTCAAACACCTGAGAAGTGGGATTCTTTTCGGGTGCGGCGTGTAAGTATACATAGCTGAAGACATCTGATGTTCTTCAGAGGTAGTTGTGGTATTTTACATTGATGACGTTTCTTCTGATGAAGATGACCTTACACGACGAAAGACAATTAGGATCTCATATGGCCTAGGGACAATTTTTGGTTTAACAGGTATTGCTACTGTTGTCATATTTATTACTTTCTTACAGCGCCTCCCTATCCTCCTAACGGTAATATCGGTGTCGGCTATCCAACAGCCTACGGCTTGTGGCTTGGTCGAGGGAATTGGGCAAGTTTTTCTGATTTGGTTTCTCTTCAAACATCATGAGATAAGTTAATACACCAATGCTTCTCACTCATGAATTTCCCTTCTTTCAAACAGGGACCCTCTTCGTTGCAATGAGTTTACCATTGAAGTTCAGAGAAAGGGTCAGACTTTGTTTCAGCCAGATTGCCGAGAAGTGGTAGTAGAGCAAGGGGCGCTGGACACGTGATCCAGGTGGACTAGTCCCACTAACGGTGCTGGGTCGCACTAGTGCAGTGACGCTGGCGCCATCTGCCTACAGTCATAAATTCTCGCAAACGATACGGCATGTGAAGGGGCATGGACTGGAGCGCAGCCAATGCGGTCTTTTCCGCCAGTAATGCCATTCTGAGGTGAGTCCGCGACAATTTGTGGGGAAGGCCGCCCTGGCTGCTCTGCAGTCCGTGTTTCGCAGGCTTTATCGTTTGCAGCGATCCTGACCATACTTTTAATCCGCCCGCTCACCTTAACGAGATGAGAGCGCCAGTGAATTCCTGTATTTCATTCTTGTCTGTTTTTCACCCAATTTTTGGTTGTAAAAATGAACAAGCATGGAACGAAATAAATCCTACGACTTTTCCTCGAAAAATGTTATAATGCAAAAAATTCTATCATAATTACTAATTAATTTGGCTAGAGCATTGGGGAGGTTACTGACCTTGCAACCGCCTGTTTGTTCATTATGGATAAGTTGCTATTTTGTGGAATTCAGGGTAATACATTGGCAAATACGATTCGATGTCTGAATGGTGGAGCTCATATTGGACAATGCCGTATCGATGATGACGCCATTTGCTTGGCTCTTGGTGGAAGTTGCATTCAAAGAGCATGCTGTACAACACCATTCTTCGGTCTTACCACTACCACCAAAGCACCGGAGGTTGACGGGGAGGTTAGTGGACTTTGCAAGCATGCCTAGCTCTTATCTGTCTTCTCTATATTTCGAATGAACAAAACTTCCACGATCACTGCAGGCAACGAGAAAAGAAAGCGAACTCCGCACAGTGCCACCACCAGTAGAGGGGAATGTGGAGCGCAAGGTAAGCCACTGATCGTCTTATATTACCAAGTACTAAACTGGTTAATTGGTTCTTCTTCCCTTACTGACGGGCACTGAGAGTGGATTATACTCTTGCTCAGCTTCCGTCTGAGGGCAAAACGTGAAACGCTGAACCATCACAGCGCGTTCCGTTCTCATCTATATTCATTTGTTCGTTTTTTCAACTTACTCAGTGATTTTCCAATTTCAATGCTTTTCTTTTGGGAGCATGCCCGTCTGTATGCATG